CGATTTATGATGTCTAATGTCTATATGCTCTCAGGCGGCTTCTTGGCCTTTACACGGCAATGTAACACCACATTTCAATGGTTTCTTGTCTTTTCCGTATGCATCACAACACATGGTAATACACAATTGGAGCATCTCAAAATAATGCTGCTAGCTGTTGTTGTATCCTTATGAAAGTATTTGTTATGGAAATCTTTGCAGGTGCAGCATCCTCAAATTGGAGGGTTGGTTCCTTGTAGAGTGCCTTTGCCTCACAACATTCCAGAGAACGAACCAATTTTCGTCAATGCAAAACAGTACCAAGCCATTCTCCGCCGCAGACAGCGCCGTGCAAAGCTTGAAGCTCAGAACAAGCTCATCAAAGTCCGCAAAGTACGTTTTTATCTCTGTTGCACCACTCTTATAAATAGAACTACATAAAGTTTCAATTATTATGTTTAAGACCAATTATTTGTATGAAATTATGCAGCCATACCTTCACGAGTCGCGCCACCTTCATGCGTTAAAGAGAGCTAGAGGCTCTGGTGGGCGTTTCCTCAACACAAAGAAGCTTCAAGAATCAAAATCTTCACAAGCTCCTCCATTCTTGGATCCACCGCATGTCTTCAAGAACTCTCCAGGAAAATTCCGGCAACGGGACATTTCAAGGGGTGGGGTCGGGTCTAGTGGCTCGACAACATCTTGCTCGGACATAACCGGGAACAACAACGACATGTTCCAACAAAACCCACAATTCGGGTTCTCAGGTTATCCATCAAACCACCATGTCTCAGTCCTCATGTGAGAGGGCTCCGGCAAGTGGTTGATGAAATCATGACGGGAAGTCATCCTTGGCTATATCATTGATCCATTAAGTTTCTGTCTTTTAAAACTGCTTTCGTTCTACAATCTCTGCTGCAAAAGAAGTTGAAATCTTTCGACTATTATTTTCCATTATCTGTTTATTTTGTTTTATGTGATTGTTGCTGAGTTGTTTGATACTTGATTTAAGTTTATTAGCTTCGATTAAGTGCACCCACATGGATTTGTGATTTATGTATGTAATGTATAATTATTTGTTTGTAGAGCTCACTTTTGTTGCCCTTTATATAGTCCATCTTCAAACCAAGTTTCATGACTATAAATTCCTTGCCAAAACTTTTTATCAAATCAAACAATAGTTCCTTATGGCCACAACCTAATTATTAAGTAGACATTTTAAATCTCACAGACTATGCTACATAATCATATAAACCATATTTAGTAACAAGGCCAATCACATGGTAAACACTTTTGGCTTTTGTCAATGTTTAATTTGTAATTTACCTTCAGTTTCATGGGAAAACTTCTTGAGCAAACTAAAAGACTCCATGGGACAATGTTTGGTCATAGACTGGAGACGGTACCTTAGTACCATTTCAATATATATATATATATATACAGTATTCGAATTTCATCTTACATAACAAGTAATTTAGTTCATCAATTTTCCACCCCAAAAGTAACCTTGTCAAGAAGACAAAGCTATAGAAAAGTATTTTGGTCCTAAACATAAGGTCTCTGTAGTTATAACAGAACATCCCTCCAGAAAACGCATCAAGATGGTTACAGCAGCATAAAGCCCAAACTATAACAGCAAAGAAGAAACACTAAAGGAATGATCACAACCTTGCAGTACTAGCTTAAACATTATTGAATGATCACATAAACAAGTAAATCATGAGGCAGAAATAAGAATTGGGAAGAAAAATGAGGGAAAAGTTATTCAGAGAAAAGAGCTCTTGAACAAGGAGATGAATAATAGCAAAAACAAATTAATAATCGACTAGCAGCAGTAGTAGTCTTGTTCAAAAGGACATGGAAATGTTTAAAAAAGGAACAAATTTAAGAAAATGGAACTAACTAATCTATCTTCACTAAACTTGGAACATAAGAAGAGCACACAAGTGGGACACAATAAATGGAGAGAGTAAAATCCAAATCTGGTCAGGTTTCCCGAGATTCGGAGCTTCTCGGATATTCACAGATTTGAAGTATCCATATTGTCCAATGATGTGAGCTGTTTGGTAGCGACAAGTCTCGGTCTTTTTATATCCGTCTAGATCGAAAACCACGGCGACTTTCTTCTCGTCATCAATAAAGAAAACTCCCAGCTTCAGCATATAACTTAAAGCCAGTGAGTGGTCTCATATCCACTTTCAAAAACTTGCTCCAAGACAGCGCAGTAGGCTCGATCATCGTCGTAATCCAAATGTCCAAGCATATAGCATTAGTTTTGATATAACACAGCTAGCTGCTCTTCTTTGACACAAGATAGAGACACAATCTCTTCATCATGAGAGTGAAACGGTAGAGGAAGACGCGGTCCAAATCTCTCTGCTGTAAAATCAAAACAGAGTAGAATAACGGGAAGATGTGTGGTATCTACGTCGTCCAGTCCCTCTCCTTCCAATTATTAAT